AAAGAATGGTCATTAAATAATGAAGTTCGTGTCGAATTAGCATTGTAAGTAAGTAACTCGTAATACTCGTATGTGTCTCCTTTGTCTTTGTATATTTCTCTTTCTATCATTGGTTCGGTGTTTCGTATTTCCGGTTGGTCTATACCAGCAGAGAGAAAGACCGGAAACGTTTGGCTGCACAATAGCGAGACGGAGAACGGCAGGKGTCAATGGCGAGATATCACTCTCTCTTTCTCTCTCGTTTCCCTTTCCCCTCTTTCTTGCCGAGGAATTCCCGTAATTATTGATTCGATTAGGAATTCGATGGCGAGTATAAGCGCGACGAGAGTGGTGCTCTCTCACAAAGCTTGCCGATGCACGGAGAATGCTAGGAAATTACATAATTTCCGTTCTTCCAAACGGATCGCCAGCAATGTTCACTTATGTTGTTTACGGATTCGTGCGAAAAGGGCCAGTTGTTTCTGACGTGCGTGTGCCATCATCCGATCTATTATTCCTCTTTTACCTTTTCCGTGAAATTGGAGAGAAGATTGTTGAATCGCACACACACCTTCGGTCTCTTCTTTCATCATCTTTGACGTTTTAGATAGAACTTCAAAGAATTAGAAGAAAAAAAGAACAAAAAGTGGAATAATTTTTTATCCGTGACTACTTTTTCTCATTATTTCTTTTTATATTTTAATTTATAATACACATTTGTGTTATCTATTTTTAAATACGTATAATCGTTCTTAATGAACAAAATCTTCTAATTAATTAATCCCTTCTTCTGTAATATTCGATTATTTCTGTTAATAAATTTATTTTGTATATATATATATATAATCGTTTAGATCCAAATGAACCATTTGCCACTACTCCCCGCTGTTAACCGCGAGAAATAACGGCAATCGTTTTATCAAAGAGATGATCGTAATTTATCGAGCAGAGAAAAGAGATCGACCTATATTAGTTTGCGGTCTACGAGTCCCGACGTATTCTTTTGATTCGCGAAAATGGTCTCCCGACGCTCGTAAAGTTTCGATGGTAATGTCGGATATTGGCGAGATATCACAGCGGTCATGCAATGAAAATGTGAACTATACACAGTAAGATAGGGAATAATATTTTACTTTCTCTCTTTCTATCTATCTATCTCTATCACTTTCTTGTATAATTTTTAACATCTCTCGAGATCCAAACGATTCCGTGGAAACATTTTATTCTTTACTTTTGTTCCTTTTCTTTTTTTTTTTTTTTTGCTTAATCGCAGTCAATTTTTCTTCTATATTTATTTATTACATTACACCATACACGAGGATCTCGAATACTCCATTATGTTCTCTCTGTGAAACATATAACAATACTTATTATATATCTAATATGATTTTTCTTTTTTATTTTTTTTTTTTTTTTACTCGTCATATAAATAATTCTTTTCTTCGCATGTTTTCTTACCATTTCGTTATTGCTCCAGTAGCGAAAGTGGAACGAGGTAATCTAGTGCTCGATCTTTTGCAAAAGTTTCTTTTATTGTGCCAACTAATATCTATACAAAAACAGTTCATTATTTATGGCAATTTTCTTCAAATTATATTTTTTACGTTTCGTTAAAAAACAATTAACGATTCTAATTAGAAGAAAAGAAAAAAAAAAAGAAAAAAGAAACATTTCTTATCGTCGTATAAAAAATTTCGTATTATTCCAGCAACTCTAAATGAATATTTTCTTATTTTATTACCATTTTAATTTCGCGTTAGTAATTCAATGTAATATATTATATGAATAAAAAATAAGATCTGTGTCTGGCCAATTAATTCGTAATGCGTTAGAATAAAAGATAAGGGTGGGGCGGGAGGGGGAGGGTAGGGGAAGAAGTTTATTGCAAGAAATAACAAGGGGCAAGAAGAAAAAGTATTGCATTTTTTTGGAAGGTTGTTCACGGGCTTGTGCTCGACTTGCGTTTTCTGGATTTGAGCCATAGAATCGTAGGAATCAGCAAGGACTGTTGGACTAAAAGGAAATTCGATCGAGAATGTATCGGACTTGCTGAATTACGATAGCCCGGTTAGGAGGAGGTAGCAGCTGACACAAATCTGACTTTCATCATATCCGATCCGATCTTCGTCGGGTGGTGCAAGAATGGAATAGGAGGAAGTTTTGACATGGTAGCACGTGCACGATCCTAAGATAAATCTTAAGATAATTTCTAAACTAACGCGTGTCCTATTATGACAATACGGTGCTACTCAGCATATTTGATTTTATTGATTATTATTTGTCATTCGACTAAATTATTTCGATTCGTTTCTAAACTCGGTCAAAAGTATAAAAAAGAAAGCAAAACAATTTTTTTAATAATTTACTCGCGTTACAGAACAAACGCGGTTCTTTATTTTAATTCTTTTTTTTACCGTAGAGTAAAAGAAAAGAATACAAGTAATATTAAAATGTAAATACATATACGAATATCATCCAATTATTATAATTAATTCAAAGTAGAGAAAGAGAACGATATAAAGGAATTTGGTCGCTTTCATCGTAGTCGAGATCTAATCGTCGAAGTTTGTAGTTAACGCGTTTGAAAAATTAAACGATTCTTCAAAATTTCACGACTATTTCTGTTTAAAATTGTGAAGAGAATAAGAGGATAGGAAGGATATACAACGTGTTCTCTTCTTATCCCAATTTTACGTTCGGAGAGGATGTAAAATTTACATCGAAGAGTTTAACGCGTATCTCGATCGATTCGATGTAAATTTATCTCTGTAAGACTAAAACAAGAGAAAGAGACAAGGTCGTTCGGTGGCCGTAGAAAACGACGACGAGGTAAATTTGAAGAGGTGTTCGAGCGAAAATTCTCTTTTCAACGTTGGCCCGAAAGAGTAGACGAGACATCACCCACGTAATAAGGTTAAATTACGATTTTTAATTAAAGGAACCTAGAACAGAACGTAGCGGTATGTATCGATTGACACCACGAACGAAAACCACAGTTCCCCTTATACCAACAAATTTACTTCCATCTTAATTACAACCAGTGTTTTTTTCTTTCTATTCTTTTTTTCCTTGTCAAAAAACAATAACGTGGCTTTTTATTAAGCTTTTTTTTTATTAAAGAATATTATATTCGTATATCGTGTGTAAATAAAATTTAAAGCAGCTTTTAATTTGTCCTCACGTAGCTCGTCGAAAATTAAACATAATTTATCTTAATTTTGGTCCTCCCACGATCGGGGGAGGGGAGGGATCTGAAGCTAACGAATAAACACAAATATAGAATCGAAAATGAAATATAAAATAAAATTGTAACAACGTTATATTATATATGATTTTTCTAAAGTTTCTCATTCGCTTTTGAAGTATTAAAAATATCGTAAAAGATAAGGTAACGAAATGACTAGTACCAGTGTATTATTTCGCAATACAACATTACGATATATGCACCGATTAGAATCTTCTGTTAGGTTACTTAATAAAAGCTTTATACTCGTTTAATACAATTTTGATTTTAATATCGTTGCGATTGTTTATATCACTTTGTTAGATCGATTTAAACGTTTGTTCTTGTTTTGATCGTTGCATAACTTTAACATTTCTTAGAATACGAAAATTAGTTTCCCCGTTGTTTCCCATTTTCTCTTTTGTAGTAATTGGGTCTTCCCGAAGATAAAGGAAGGAGAGGGGTGACTTGATAGAGTATTTCGGGAAAAGATGAGATATCGTTCGTTCTTTGAAGACGAAAGCGAACCGAAATCCATTAAAGCCAATCGTCTTCGTTCTTCTTCGTAGGCGCGCACAACGCCAGTGCTATCAAAACCTCGTTAACGTCCTGACCCATATATTTTTTACCTTCTTCTTCTTCTTCTTCTACTTCTTTTTTCTTTCTCTCCCTTTTCTTCTATTAGAAACCTAACAGAAATCGCAAAAAGCGTTTTTCCCGTTCGTGCATAAGTTTACGTCAACGAATGTTAGCTGCCCTTTAAAACAAATTTCGCATCTCGAGAGAAATTCCTGACTGAGAAAAGCCATCGTCGTTTCGATAGATTTAGCGAGCCGTCACCGCGTTCCTTCTTTTTTTTTTTCTCTTTTTTCTTTTTTTCTCTCCTCTTCGGATTATTTTCACTTACCTTTTATTTCCATAGTTATATGAACAAATTTTCTTTTTCTTTATATTATACATGGTCAGTTATTCGATATCGAAAGTTTGCTCGATCGTTTGATTGAAAAAGAAAATAAACCAAAAGAGAGAGAGAGAGAGAGAGAGAGAAAAGTAAGCTCATCTGAATTTCGGCACGTCTCTTTTCGCTCGTTCGAATTTCTAAACCAAACGATTCCACCACGGTGGAGTTAAATGCATGGAGAAACGGGTCACCGATGAACGGGTATCGTTTAAAATTAGGTAAAAGGGTCGGAGGGAGCAAAAGAAGAAAAGAAAAAAAAGAAAAAAGAAAAAGAAAGTTGAGTAGGGGGAAAAGAAAGAGAGAGAGAGATATATAGAGACACATTGGCGCGCGTACGTCAAGTGACGAATGTATGCACGCGCAAAAGGGGGTACATACGAAAGAGGGAGGAAGGTGAGGGAGGAAAAGAGATAGAGATAGAGAGAGAGAATTGGAAAGAGAAAGAAACGAGGAGGGGGATTAGGGGGGGAGGAAGAGGAAGAGGAAAGAACGCCCCGCCCTCATCCGACTCGACGTCGCTGGTCTCGGGCAGAGGAGGTTTCGCACCCCTTCACCCCTTACCCCGTGGATGGACCGGCGGCGACGTTCCGTTGGCAGTGGAAGCGGAGCAGCAAAGCCACCCCCACCACCAGCCCTCTTTCTCTTTCCCTTTCCTGTGTCTTCCGTATTCGTTGTCTCCGTTAGATCCGATGTTAGGGAGCTTTTTCTCTCTGTCCCTCTCAACCCCCTTCCCACCCCCAATCCCTCCCCCCACTCCCGGAGTCCCATTCCCAGCACGTCTAGTTTTGTGTATAGAGAGAAGGTAGAGAGCAGCGTCAGGGTTGCGTAGAAAAGCAACCCCCTCATACCACGTTCGATGGATCGATGGCGCTTGACTCGTTCACCCCCCGCTGCGTGGCGCCATTGTCGCCGGCACGGCAACTCCGCCGCTCAGTCTGAACTCGGGTTCACTCAGTCCACGACCGTTAGCCACGAGACTTCGATCTCTGGTACGCAGGGTATCCCTTACGATACCGAAAGAGAAAGAGAGAAACAGTATTATAAACTCTTATCGTATTTTTTATAATCGGACAAGATAACCAATTAGTTTCGCGCGAGATTAAACTCATAGGCGAGAGATCGATCGGGTTATTCTCTTACGAAGATTATTATTCGCGCGAAGGGAGAGATACAAACGACACCATACCACACCACACCACGTCACGTCACGTCACAGAGAGAGAGAGAGAGAGAGAAAGGGTGAAAAATACAAACGATTGAAGCACTACACGCATACTCATACACACAAATACACATCAGATACAGATACAGACACGTACGCATCTCTAGACGAATAATATACGCGAGATAGAAAGAGACCACCACCCGCGAACCGCCGCACGCGACCGACGACTTGTTCTTACGAATTTCTCTCTCTCTATCTTTCTTTCTTTCTATCTATCTGTCTTTCTTTCTTTCTTTCTACCTTTCTTTCTTACTTTCTATCTTCTCTCTTTCTCTTTCTTATTTCTCTTAATCTTTCTCTATAACTCTCTTTTCTCTCTCTCTCACTCTCACTCTCTCTCTCTCTCTCTTCTCTTTTCTCTCTTATCTCTGTTCTCTCTCTCTCTCTCTCTCTTTTCTCTTCTTATTCTTCTATTCTCGTTCTTCTTGTGTCTATTTCTTAACTTTACGTCTTTCCATTCTCTTGGGAAAGTTCGCGCGCGCGCGCGCACGTGCGAGAGAGAGAAAAATATAATCGCCGAAGAAAAATATTACCGGTGACGGAGAGAGAGAGAAAGAGAGAGAAAGAGAAAGAGAAACAGAGAGAAAGAGAGAAAGAGAGAAAGAGAGAGAGAGAGAGAGGGGGAGGTAGTCGAGCGCGTCTCGTAAGAAAGACTGAATAAAAAAGAAAATAGCAAAGTAATTAAAAAAAGAAAAAAAAAAAAAGAAAAATAGAAAAGAATAAAAAGAGCAAATAATATAAACAAAGAGATTCACGCACGACGAGAATATTCAGCTTTTAAAGTTTGCACCGAGATAACGTCGTCGTCGTTGTCACATCCGAGACGTCTTCATCATTATCATCATCATCATCATCGTGTCTTCTTCTTCTTCTTCTTATCGTCTTCTTCGTCCACCAACGGCGAATCATCGACCAGTCGGCAATCGCAACACGAGAGGTGAGTTTTCATTGAATTTTCACGAGATCAGAATTTATTTTTTGATTTATTTATTTCGCATAATCGTGTGAGAAACAAATTACACTTTACTTTTGACGATATTATTTTCTTCCACTTAAAGAATATCGTTCGCGAGACGTTCGGGATGCGTGTGGGTTGGTGGATAATAGGTAGGAGGGGGTTGGGGTGGTTACATAGACGGTGAAAAGCTGGCGCGCGCGTGCTCGTGTGCGTGCTCGTGTGCGTCGCGTCGTCTACTGCTGTTGGGTGCGTCGTCGTGTTGGCTAGACTCGTTGCATCCTTCTCGCACGCTTTCAACGTGCCTATTTCCCGACTCTCTCGTTTTCGTGTCGCTTCGTGAGAGAGCTTTACGTGCGACATACCGTGGGTAGTTCGATAAAATGCGAGGGATAGGCCGTTGCAACGCTTACTCTCTCTCTCTCTCTTTCTCTCTCGCCCATTTTCTCTCTTTCCTTCTCTCGCTCGGTCATCGATTTCGAACGCACTGTGCTAAAGCCAGACTTCTTCCCTACCCTTCTCTTCTCTTCCCTTCCGTTCCCTTCCGTTCTCTTCCCTTCCCTTTTCCTATCTCTATCTCTTTCCTTCAAATTTAACCAAGTTATCGCGAGATTTTTGCCTACAAATTTCCCTACCAACCGGTTGAAACTTTTTTCTTAATCTCTCTCGGAGAGGGTGGGAAGGAGGAAGGAAGGAAGGAAGGAAGGAAGGAAGGAAGGAAGGAAGGAATCTAGTTTTTCATGAAATTGCGATAGAATGAGAGGAGGAATAGATATAGACGACGTTGAAGCATTATGAATGTTATTTCTTCTTCTTCTTCTTCTTCTTCTTCTTTTGATTATTTTTCTTCTTCTTGATCTTCCTTTTATGTGTTTCTACTATTTCTCTTTTCGAAGTCATCAGGAAGACCTTTAACCGTATATATATATATAGGTTTCTTTTAAAGTTGAGAGATCGTACGTGATCTTTCCTAAAAGTGAACTACCAGAGAAAACGCGATCGCAAAAACAGTTTCCAATAGAAGTTTGCTAATGACGTACGACCAAGTATAATAACGATAACGGCTACCGGTCAACGTACTCTTCATCCTTCGCAAAATTTTCCCTCGGGCGTTAGACGTTCATTCTTCTCCGTGAACTTTAACGTGTTAGGCGAAAACTTTCGTGGAAACTTCGGAAAAACCGCGATCTCCATAGGAGGATATATATATATTGTATATATATATATATATATATATATTCCTACCTAGAAATTTTACACGATGAAAATTAATTTCGTATTATTATTATTATTATTAATAATAATATTATGTTGAAAATTATACTAAGGGTAAATATTTCTTGAGCAATGTTCTCTCATCATTTTTATTGCAATGATTAAATTTCATCTTTTAAATTGTTATTTTAAGTTAGCAATTGTTCATAAATTATGTACATACGTTAAAGGAAATGTAATAAAGATGTTCCAATTTCATCACGTGGAACAGTTGGAAACATTTTGAAATTATTTCCATTATTATTCCAGCGTTTCGTTTGGGCTGTTGGTAAAAAAAAAAAAAGGAAAAAAAAATAAATATAGAGTTTCTTATTCAGGAAGATTTATCGGGAGATATTCGTGATTCCAAGAAACAGCGGATGGTTTAAAGTCTCCCGCGTGCCATCACGATTTAATCTCGTTTCCTAAGAGAGAAAAAGATAGAGAGAGATAGAGAGAAGGAAGAGGAAGGACAGTCGTAGTCTGACGGACGGTAGAAATCGAGTTTTCCAAAGTTTTCTAAGCGCGCGAAAACAGTGATTAAACTCCTATTTCATTTCGCATTTGACGCGAATAATTCGAAAGTTGCTTTGATTCTAAGCCGACTCGCGTAAGATCGATTTCCTTCGAAAAATAGAAAAACCATAGATAAGAAGAAGTATAAAATAGGCAAATTAATATTATTATCCATTACCCGTTTCAAAGGATTTGCATCGTTTCTTAGCCAGGACGACTATCCGTAAATGTATTTACTTATAAATTTTTATAAGAAAACGTTTTTCCTCTCTTGCATTCTTATTGGTCTTCTACGCGTACCTCCGAAAATTGAGATGTCAAGAGATCGGGACCAGCTCGTTTTTCGTAACTCGATCGTATTACCAGAATGGAATCGTCGATCGTAGCTCTTTTCCAAGATCCTCTTTCGGCGAAGTGTCGATAAATCCTTGCCTTAGATTCGTTGCGTCATATATTATATTTATCATATATAATATTATATATACGTATCCAAAAATATATAAAATAATATATATGATATGTAATAAAGTATACATATCTGCGTACGATAACAATTCAATCAGAATTGCTCCTTTCCTTTCGTATAGATTTAAATATATTACAAATTTGTCAATATATATA